GCCGGTACGAGACTCGAACCCACAACCTTTGGGTTATGAGTCCAACTCTCTAACCATTAGGCCACGACTTCCCCAGAAAAAGAAGCAACATTAGCCACCCTGGATTCGAACCGACAACCTTAGGAGTTCAGGGCCAGAGGCTTAGCAGAGTGCGCCACTCAGTTTAGATAGATAGATAGATAGATAGATAGATAGCAGGGAGCTTACCTTCCTTGTCTTGAATCTTAGCCTTGACATTTTCAATAGTATCAGAGGGCTCAACCTATTAACACATGTAGAAGACATAAATATTTGTCATAAATAACAGTAAACTGCACCTAAACCAATAGCTATTTATCATTATTGTACAGGAGACCAAGTGGAATCTAACTTTAACTTTTCCAAATCACAAACCATTGACTCCGAGGTCTAACCCTGATATTTTTGGTGTTTTTAACACATTTTGAATTTAAAATGATATCGTTGATACGTCTTTGAAATTATTAATCTGATATCTTTTTTTTTTTTTACATGTAACGTTAGATGATTAATTCTTACACTGTAACCGACACCTATTAACATTGAGGCTGTGAACTGAAGGAAAATTTTTGTTAAAACGGCATAATTAAATTAAAATCATTTCTATTGAGTATTCAATTGTATGCACATTTTAGATACAATTCATTAATTTGCAATCTCTACTGTACGAACGTAACGTTAGCGGAGCCACATGACTTGTCGCTAGCATTATTTAGGGCTTCCGTATAACTATTAAAATACAGCATTTACTTACGTTATAACTCTACCTATCCTACACATTTATACTTAAAGATTCATATAACACAATATAATTAGCCCGCATTGCAATAAAACAAAAGATAAAGTATCGAATTCTCTCGCACGGCTCGCCTATGCCTCACCTCGAGGGTGATGGTTTTCCCCGTTAGGGTTTTCACGAAAATCTGCATGTTTGTGTTCAATCCACCTGTGTATAAAACAGAAGTAAATGTTTCTGGGTCATTTTAAAGCATTTATATATCCGAATATCATATTTATTTCGCCATTATTCGTTCGTGACAGTCACTCACCACCAGCCCTTAGATGGCGGAAATCGAAAAGGGTCCTTCAAACGGTACAACGTGCTCTTCAGCGCTGTAAGGCTGCCCGACGAACTGCCTGAAGAGAAAAAAAAGTACACAAAAAGCGAGTTACTGTAAGTATTTAACAGTGTTAAAATGTTTCATTTCAGTTTTTAACTAGTAGTATATACGCCGTTATTTTAACCAGTAACATAACTGTTATGCTATAGCATTTTGTATTTACATTTTATTAAGCTGTTAAAATCGATTATTTTAATGATACTGAACACATTACACTGTCTGCAGATTCAAACATATCTCGACTGATAAATGTGTATTTCTACAGCTAAAACTTCACATTATTAGAAGTCTATTTCCTCAAAACACATTTGCCCCAAATAACAAATAAAATCTCATGTTTTTTTATTTTGTTTTAATTAATAGTATTTAAAAACTTTGCTGCCTAAGTGTTGTTTACTGCTTCGATTATATTTTGGAATTCATATCTTGTTATCATGAGCATGAACGGCAGAAATGTATATCCGGCACCAAGGGCGCTATAACAATACATGGAGAGGATTTGAGAGTTGCGCACCAGAAATGAAAATGGAATCAGTTGACTCACTGTGGTCACTTGGTGCATTCTCTGGTCTTCAAGCTCTTTCATATGCATGCAGTGTCCTACAAAGTCTTCCTGACAAGCATGCTAAGGTTTTTCCTCCTCTTTGTTGTAGGCCTATTACATAATACATCCTTTGCAGTCCTTGATGTAGCATATGGTCTTTGGCCAATATATCCAGTTAACTGCACAACACTTCTTATGTGAATATTGTGTAATCTTGGTTTTGTAACCAGAGGCAACAGCCTGTGCATAACATGGCTCCTGTTTCATCTCTCATTGCCAAAAATCTAATATTTTGCTCTGCAGAAGCAAAATGAGGAAATTGAGCGTTTTGTAGTTGTGCATCCAGAGCTGAATGACGTGAATTTCTGAACAGCATGTTCCCATATAGACATTAGCACACCATTTAAAAGAATGTAGCACAACTATTTACACATGAATATGCAATGGCCTTTAGATACGAAACAGGTGACCCAGCAGGCATGAGTGATTACTGTTGACATCTAGGTGCTGCATGCTGTTATAGAGTTGCTCCATGAAGAAAGCAGCCAGTGCAAGCTTGCAAACTGTGTGTGCCATGACACGTAGTATTCCAAAAACAGGACTGTCTGCGCCTGCCCTGTGATAAATGCTCAGGGGGAAGGAGCAAGCAGATACAGAACAACAGAAGAAGAAAAAACTCATAAAGGTTTGGAACTCCATCATTTGGAGTTAATGATGATAGAATTTGGGTGAACTATCCCTTTAATAAGCCTATTTTTATTTTCCATTCTAATCACCGATGTAAACAGCAATCGGCTGCTTAAAACATTCTACAGTATGTTGGGAATTTAAACACTAAATCCAGGATATGGCGTGACCTTACTTATAGGTGACCTTCATTGCTTAATTAGAACATAACACATAAATTATTAAAATAAACAATTGCATTGAACCTTAGATCATCAAAGATCATGATGATTGTGAATGTTTAAGAAAGGAAGGTCTGTGAGACTCCCTTTTCCCCTACTTAGTATATGACTAAAAGATGATAGCACTCTGTTTTCTGTGAAATAAGTATTGCACTACATTGACTCACTGCCATGAATTTCAAGATTACTGCTACATGAATCAGCAACTTGAATAAGGTGATTAAAGCTAATCTTTTCACTGTAAAATGGTTTTATTCTGAGATCGAAAAATATATTCCTGCATCCTTTCTCTCACAGAAGATGGATTATGACTTGACTTTTGCACAAGCCAAAAAAAGATAAGATCAGAAAGAACTAACTAGCAGGCCAGATTAGAAAATGTGCACCACACATCTCTACGATTAATCAATCAGTAAGCAAAGGGCAGGTTATCAGTCAGCCCACGTGGGCATGTCTCCAGCGCAGCACAAAGACCCTGCAGAACCGGTTTGGTACTTTGCTTCCCCATTGGCGTCTGGATGACAATGGAGACTGCAGTATCTGGAGAGGACAAACTATCCCTCAAATCTGCCTTTGTCTCCTTTTCACAGCACAGAGGACAGACAATGACATCTGCCCAGCAGACATGCACTGACTCACCACAATCTGCAATAAAACAAGATAACGAGAAGACTTAAAAGATGAACTTAAACATCTAATGATCAATAGCTCGTAAGTTGTGCTATTTTTGACCATAATTATAGTAATGGCTGCTAAGACTTGCATCATTGCTTTTGTTAAGGTTTTTAAGTGCACTATACATTTTTCAAGTGATGAGACTTACAGTTTTTACTCACACTAAAGGAGAGACCCAAGACATATCTATATATAATGATGAGGAATTTTACTAGATGTCTCGTCACAGTCTGGATCCACCTGGATTCCTTTGTTGATTGATCTTTCAGCTGCATGTTTGACAAGGAAAACATTTACATTACATACAGTATGTGCTCCAAGTACACAATGTTCAGAATTTCCTGGAGCACAGCAGAACAGCCGTAACCTACAAAGCCTGAGAAGAAATATGAAATAATAATAATAGTAAAAAAAGAAAGTAATTTATTGAACCTTTAGATAAAATCTAAATTTAGTTTTTGATTTGTTTCGTATTTTTCATTTCATAGCTTTGTGTCATATGGGTTTTTATGGCCCATATGATATTGTGAGAATATGGAGCTCATACTTGTGGAGGGGGGAAAAAAATCTAAATTTTATTAAGAAATATTCAATTTGCCACAGTTTCTGTTATTTATAAGGCCAAAAAGTAAAATGTATTTCTGATAATGTAAATCAATTAGATCCTTATAACAGTATAACAGTTTCCACTCTGTATCTCTTAATCTACTGTAGTAAGATTATATTTAAATACTTAATTTTTAATCAAATCCCTGTAGTTTTTATTTTGGGAGGGCGAAACATATAATGCAATGCAATGAAGATGCAGACAAAACTGATAAAAGTTCCACAACTGCCTGTTGTATAGATATTGATATTTTAACACTTTGACATTTTATTTATTTTTGTATGTTGAATCAATTAACCTAAGTTGCTTCAGTCCACTAAATGTTTATTAGGGCCATATTAGGGCCTACTAAGAATGTAAAAATTATTCATTTAGATAAAAATCATCAGAGATTTCACAGTAAAAAGACACGTGTACCGAGATCTGAATGGGGACAATTCATTAACATTATAAAAGGCCTTTTACTTGCTAAAAAAAGTATGAACTACCAATAAGAGGGCAAAAGGCATAGAAAATTCTGTGAAATAAGTTTTTCAGCAAAGTATATCATATAAAAGTGATATGATACAAAACACTTTACATTATTACAGATAAAAAGGGATCCAAGAGAGACAGTCTTGACTCAGATTCATTGGATCACACGAGTCTCTTTAGTTTATGTTGTAATACAACGACAAACACTGAAACATCTGAATAAATGTATGCGCAACAATATTCAATGACTTCGCAATCAACGCACAAGATGTTATGAATATAGTCAAGGTTAGAGTGTTGCTTGCATGACATCAAATGTGTAGTTGATTTCATGAAATAATGGCTACACTTTGCAAATACTAAGAACATATAACTATTATTTACATATAAGAATAAAGGCAAGCTATCAGTGCATTTTCAAACCACTGTGTATTTTAAAACTGCTTGAAATGCATCACTCAGCCATTTTCCACATTTCTGCTCAGGAAGAGAAAGCATGTGGCTGCCCCGCCCCCTTTCACTATCCACCCAATGAAATACCCACAAACTTCCATACCCCGCCCCTAATTAATCGCGTAACCTTGCACGCAACGAGGTGCTTGGGCGTCGTAGAACCGCCCTCTTTCACTATTCAGCCAATGAAATAGTTGGCTAAATTTGCATATACTTCCCCTAACTAAGCGTCTAGTCAAACAGTTGCGCCGTTTCTGCGTTTCAGGCCCGTGTTGAAACCTGAAGTTTTGCAAAGATATTTTCTCAGATATTCAAATCGAAAAGAAAAGTTACTCGTATATAACGGTGTGAAATCATTCTTAACGATGGATGATCAGACGGGTATAAGCTCCACGACACCTTCATATGGCTTTCAGCATGAAGAAGAAGAAGAAGAAGAAGAATACCGAGCAGACAAACACAAGAACTCGTTGATGGATGAAGCAGAGGATTTATTGGCAAGAGAGGCAGATGCTAAAGCGCCAGACGACGATGATATCTTAGATCTGGCTGGAGGAGCGAAAGATGCGCTGGAGAGGCACAGGTCCACATTGCCACGTACCGAAGAGCCTCAGCTGGACGTAACAGAACCAGAACAAGAACCATCATCCACCTCTAAACCAGAGCCAGAAGCTGTCAAACCAGCACCGAGCAGTGCGTTTGGAGACGCAACAACAAAAACGACGAAATCAGAAGAAAAAGATGAGAAAACTAGAGTCACGCCATCCCAATCTAACTCTTGTTGTTCATGTAAGTACATTATGTATTTGTAACTTATCATTTTGATTTTGATTTGAATTTGAATCGAGGATCTGTAAGTATTATCACTAACTAAAATAAGCATAATCAACTTTTTTTCTTTTTAATCCACCCAACATGTTAACATTACACCAGGAACAACTGACATGACGTCAGATCCGTTTGAATTATTAACGTTAACTTACATGTATTAATCAAGACTGACTTGCTTTTTACCTAACGTACCTTTTCAATTGCAGTAATACAGTTTGAGGTTTCTGATTTATATTTAAGTCTCCGATTCATATTTCTTGGGCTTATCTCAACAAGTGTTTTAACTGATGCTTATGCAGCATGAGTTAAAAAAAAAAAAAGCTTTATGAACTGGTTGCAGTCTAGAAATCAGTCAAATCTCAGCAAAAAAATATAATTTACATATGTTCATTTCGATTTGTTCGTAAAATAATATAAATGCATAATATAATAATATTAAAATATAAATAAATGTATTTTTAAATACAATATTAAATTGCTGAACACTTACACATTTTTGAACAATTACAATTTGTTTGTTTTTTAGCTAGTAAAAAAAATTTGATTAGCACATTCTGAACAATTAGTTTTAAGCAGTGTATTAGTAGTTTGTTAGTATGCTACACTCTAAGAAAAGCCTGTAAAAATAGTCTACTATGTTAATATGAAGACATTTTCCATATTGATTTTTCACAGGTTTTTTTTATCTACATTTTAAATTCCGCATTGTATTTAGTGTTTTTGGGTTACAGGGTTACAACGGATAATGGATAAAGTCCTGGAAAATTACTACCTTTTCCATTTTTCTAGATCAACTAACTGATCAACAATCACAGGTACAAGCTACTAACAAGGTGTATCAAGCGGCGCTGTGCAGATTGATCGGTGTTTGACATCAAAGCACCGCGAGAGCGATTAGAAATCATGCAGGTCCGCCTGCTCTCTATTAGCTCTCACGGTACTTTGATGTCATACACCGATCGGTCTGCGCAGCGCAGCTTCAAGTCGAACACACCTAATTATTATTGAACAATTGCAAATAGCAGTTAACTTAATTCACGTGATGTGTGCACTGCTAGGCATCTTTGGTTTCCTCTTTTTGTCTAATTTAGATGGAAAATGTGTGCCTTTTTATCATTTGAAATTGTCATCAAAATTGCTAAAAGTTGCCAAATAAATAAAAAAAAAATAGCAAAATTTGTTGCTAGGTGCTTTTGGAGGAAAAAGTTGCTAGGGTAATCTGAAAAGTTGCTAAATCTAGCAACAAAGTTGCTAAGTTGGCAACACTGAGCTTCGTTACTGCATACTTTGAACAGCATTTTGAAATAATAATCATTGGGGAATTTTAATGTCATCTTGATGGCTTTCCTTTACTGCCATCTTGTGGAGTATGTGTTACTGACACGAAAAATACATAAACCCACGAAATTGTGCTAGTTGTCAAACTGTTTTTATTAGAATTTAAAGGGGTCATATGATGTTGCTAAAAATAACATTATTTTGTGTATTTGATGTAATGTAATGCAATGTGTTTATGCGGTTTAAGGTTAAAAAAACACATTCTTTTCCACATACTGTACATTATTGTTTCT